CCTATCTATTCTCAGCATACTGTTTTCAAAGGCCCCTGCAGGTGTTCACGCATGTTTCAGTGATTAATGTGGTTCAATACGGCTGTCCCAATATAATGCGGTTTCCAAAGGGAACTGGAAGAGAGGACCCAGGGTCTCCTGCATTGTACAACAGGACTCGGGTGTCTACGGGCATCACTGACTGCCCTGCCGAGGCCCTCTGTGCTGAAGGCGTCACTGCAGATGGAAGGATTCCTTGAGGAACTCTACTACTGGCAAAGGTGAACGGGTCTGGGCACGGGATCAGTGCAGTCCAGGAGTGACTCTAAAAGTGCTGGCGTGTGGGCACTACGTGCGGAGCTCAGCCCCAAGTCCTCTTCATGCATTAGCCCATTTAATCCCCACAGCATCTTTCTAAGGTTCACATTCACTTGCTTCATTTTATGGGCGAGGAAAGGAAGCCTGGAGAAATTCAGGAACTTAACGAAGATCACACAAGGATTAAATGACAGGGCCAAGATTCAAACGTGGGCTATTCATACTATGTATAGAATTGTATGTCTAGCCCAATTTTGTTGACCAGTCATCCGTTGATGGACACACGTTGCCTTCACCTCTTGGCTTTTGTGAATGATGCTGTTACAAACATGGGTGTTCACATGTCTCTTTTGAGTTCCTGCTTTTGGTTATTTGGGGGATATACCCAGAAGTGGATTTGCTGGATCATATAGTAATTCTATGTTGAGGTTTTTGAGGAACAGCCACGCTGTTTTCACACAGTTCCAGTTTACCCACAATCTAGCCAACAGTTGTTATTTTTCAGATTTTTTTTTTTTTTTAAATCATAGCCATCCTAATGAGTGTGAGGTGGCAGACTCACATTTTGAAGCGATCCCTCAGTCTACAGGGCAGAGAACAGAGAGCCTCTGAGAAGGATCTGCAACTTTGAATACTAGAGCTCTGAGCAGGAACGTTCCCAAGGGCTGCTTCTGGTCTCCTGAAGACCAGAGCTAACCACTGGTAATGGACTGTGGTGAGTGAACGGTGCCGGCACTGTGCCTCGAAGTGCCTCCCTACTTTGTCGATTAGTCTAAAAACACGTCAGCTTTTGGGTATGACTGGGGTCCCTCCAGGCAGGGCGTGGAGCACAGGGCCCTCCTTTATGGGCCGGACTCAATAGTGAAGCTGCTTACCTGTGACTCACCTCCCAGGCTCAAGCTGATGCTAAGGTGCTGATTTGCTGGAACTCGGAGCTGTGCCTGTGTCTCCTTGGATTCTGGGAGATTTTTTTCTTTTAGCAGTGTTTTGTGGAAATATTGTCTAGGTAGAGTAAAATGTACAGATCCTGGTTTTCTGTTTGAGTTTTTGTTTTGTTTTAAGACAGGGTCCTGCTCTGTCACCCAAGCTGGAGTGCAGCAGCACGATCATAGCTCACTGTGGCCTCAACCACCCAGGCTCAAGCAGTCCTCCTGCCTCAGCCGTCCTGTAGCCAGGACTATAGGCGTGCACCATAATGCCCCACTAACTTTTTTGATTTTTTAGTAGAGACAAGGTCTCGCCATGCTGCCCAGGCTGGTCTCGAACTCCTGGGCTCAAGCAATCCTCCTGCCTCAGCCTCCCAATGTGCTGAATTACAAGTGTCAACCACTGCACCAGCCTCAGCCTGTTGTTAATGGATGTAAATACCTGTGCAATCACCACCTAGAACCAGATCCAGAACACTTCCAGCCTCTCGAAGACTCCTTCGTGCCCCTCCCAGTCAGAGACCCCCAAGGGTGACGCCATTCTGGCCTGTTGTTCAACTTGACTCTCACAGCATGGAATTCTCACAGCGTGTGTCTGTTTGGATCTGGCTGCTTCTGCTCAGTTGTGAGGCCCATTGATGTTTCCTGTGGCCTAGCTCCTTTTTATTACTGAGGGCTACTCTGTTGTATGAAAACCACAATTCATTTCTCCCTTCTCCTTTGGTGAACTTTTGCATTGTTTCCAGCCTGGATCATTCCTAACAGCATGAGTAAAGCAGTTAAAAACAGGCAAATATGTTTTTCTTTCTCTTGGGTAATTTTTCAGAACTAGAAAATCCAGAACATAGAAGTAGATATTTGACTGTATTACAACTCACCAAGCAGTTTTTCTTTTTCTTTTTTCTTTTTTAATTTTTTGAGACAGAGTCTTACCTAGGCTAGAGTGCAGTGCCATGATGAGGGTTCACTGCAGCTTTGACCTCCCAGGGTCAAGCGAGCCTCCCACCTCAGCCTCCCATGTAGCCGGGACCACAAGTGTGCACCACCACACCTGGCTACTTTGTTTATTAAATTATATGTAGGGACAGGGTCTTCCTACCTTGCCCGGGCTGATCTCAAGCTCCTGGGCTGAAGTGATCCTCCTGCCTCAGCCTCTCGAAGTGCTGGGATTACAGGCGTGAGCCACCACGCCCTGCCCATTTTTCTAAGTTGGATTATTTTACACTCCAGTCTGCTGTGAATGACAGTTCCAATTGTTCCATATCCCAAGCAATTGGCGATTGCCTACAAATGATGTGGCATGATGAAATTGTTCCTGGTGTCCATGGTGTCCGAGAGGATTGCAAAGAATTTCCCTTCCTTTCTCTCCTTTCTGCTCCTCCTGTACTGTCTACTCCTTAAACTGGTCAAATTCTACTTGATCCAGGAACATAATGGGGATGGAGAGTGCAGATAACACACATGGCCTCAGTCTATGGGAGCATCTCAAAGGAATTCGTCTGCAAATTCTAGTGCATCTAGGCAGAGCACAGGAAGGAAGAGAGGTGCAGACTCACGTATGGCCCTGGGGCACCTGCCATCCCCTTGAGCCTGTACAGCCCTTACCCGCCCAGCCCCAGCTTGAGTTCTGGGCCTTCTCACCAGCACATCACTGGGACCTGGTCAACTTCAGGTCAGTTTATTTCATGGCTCCCTCCTCCCTCTGCAGCCTATCCTGTTATTCTCTGTTTCGGCCAATTATTTCCCCTAACTAGGTGCTGAAGCCAAATAAAGGCAGTTCATGCCATATGTCCCTTTCCAGCCCCATGTCACTTGAAATGTTCTATTAGGTCCAAGACTTCTCTCCCCATCCTAAAGCGCAGAAAATAAAGATAGAGAAGAGCAGGAGAAGAAAGAGAGATTCACTGAGAGGGAGGATCAGAAGCTCCTGGGCACCCCATACTCTAGAATAAAAATCTTCATTATGGTGTTTTTCTTGCAAAATATTCCCCTCTACGTAATTATGTTTTTACGTGAATAATATAAATTTAAAGAGAAGAAACACTTTTTGAAGAGTCTGAGAATCTTCATATAGCTCAGGCTACCACGAATTAGCTGTGCAACCTGGGGCATGCCCTTTAGACGCTGAGCCTCAGCTTCTCTATATGTAAAATGGGTTGAAGCCGCCCTTCCCCACCAGCACCCCGGGGACAGGCAACGCCCAGCCCCATTATTTTCTGGACTCCGTGGCCAAGCGTGCTCAGGACACACAGCCACATACTTCTGGGCAGTGTCATCTGGCAACTCGCTGTCATGTCAGTGTGGTCAAGCATTGTAGACCTCTATGAACCAAATATGCTTCAGGCTCGGGTTGAGCACAGGAGAGGGAGGAGGGAAAGGTCACTGGGACTGGGAGTGCCCACTTCCCTCTGTAAGCGTCACTGCAGTTCACCCAGCACCCTACCTTGCTCTCTCTGGACCCACTTCCTCTTGCTGCTGGCTCCTCCCCATTGAGTAACAGCCAAGTTGCTTTGGTTTCTATTTCTTTGTTAAGTCATTTCCTCTGCAAAGGACTTCCTGGCAGGTGTGAAAGGCAGCGGTGGCCACAGAGGCGGTGGAGAGATGGCCTTCAGCGGTTCCCAGGCTCCCTACCTGAGCCCAGTGAGTTCCGGGGCCGTGGGCACAGGGCTGCCTCAGCCAGGGGGACACAGCCCTGGGGCTCTGAGGAAGCAACTCCTGGGTGGCAGGGGATAGGGGTGGGGGCAGGCCAAAGAGAACACAAGCATGGCAGAAATGTCAGTGGAGGTCATCCTGGCACACCTGTGCCACACTGAGCTTGCTCATGCCTGGAGGGATGTTCGTCCCCACAAGTCATGGGGTTGACATGTTGACTCAGCTGTCCCGTCCTGTCCTGTGTGCTCAGGGGGAGAGGTGTAGAGCGGGATGGTTCATGTAAAGAGGAAGCAAGCATGTTTCTGGGACAGTAAGGACACTACCCGCCATGGTAGTTAAGGGTGCTTACTGAGAAGATGGCCTCCCTGGGTCCAACCATTTACTAGCTAGTGGTCTCTGGGCCTCAGTTTCCATATCTGTAAAGTGGGAATAATACTTGAGCCCCCCATTCCCAGGGTTGGGCTATGGATTAAGGAGGTAGTGTATCTAGTGTGTTTGAACAGTGCCTGACACACTTTGGGAGTGTTTTGTGTTATTGGGAGTCCGGGGGCAGCAGGGAAGGCCTCCTGAGGAGGTGTCTGTGCTCTGAAGGGTGAGGCAGAGTTAACCAGGACTGGGCATGTCAGGGCATCTGCAGAGGGGCAGTCTCAGAGGTGAGAGGGGGCGAGGACTGTCCCCGCAGTGTGGGGTCAGAGGGCTGCAGGTGCCTTGCTGAAACCCTGTGAGATGTATGAGTCCCCTTCATACAGAGAAAATTTCAGGCTCAGGGAGGTGTAGGCCAGTTGCCAAATGTCCCCAGATGGGAGTGGCAGCGCCAAGAGCCCAGGAACCTTCAGGGGTCACCGTGTCCTGGGCCGGGTCCTGTCATTGGATCTCACCCCACCTTGGCAAAGAGCTTCCCGAGGGGCTGGAGAGGGTGGGCTGATGGGCCCTTCTTGGGTGGGGAGGCAGGGTGCTGAGGGCAGGGAAGCTGCCAGGGCCCACCTCAGCAGAGGTCAGGGTCGAGCTTGGGTGCCCTCTGGTGACATTGAATCCAGAATGAGGCTGCCTAGGTTCTGGTCTGCAGGGCTCGGCTCTGCTTTCTGAACTCCAGAGGAAGAGTGGAGAAAGGAGGCCTGTTTCCTCCTGGCTGTCACCAATGACCCCTCAGCCACCCTGTGGAGGCTCCTGAGGTAGGACCTGCACAGATGGGCACTGGGGGAAGCTGGAACAGGCCGCAGGTTGGGGGTCTTAGGGTCAGCAGGTGCTGCTTTGGGCATGTCACCCTGTCTCTGGTTTTCTGTCTGAGAGGGAATCCCAAAGCTTCTTCCAGGTTCTGAAATATTATTCTAGTGACTGATTTTTACTTTCTAATCTTTGGATTCAGAAGGAAAATTCTCCTGTGGACATCAGAGAGTTAAAACAGGGCCTTGGAGCCCAGACAAGAAAGACGGTCAGTGCAGCCCCCGTGGGTGTCCAGAGCACCCCTCTACCCCACAGGGCTCCCCTGGGGTGGGACACTTAAGCCTCACTCGGTGACCCCTCTGGCAATCGGAGCCACACTTCCTCCACGTGCCGACAGTGGGGGAAGGTCACGGGGTTCGCTGTCCTGCTGAGGAGGGCTGAGTGCCAAGAGGGCCTGGCTTGGAAACGTCACTCCCTCTTCTTGTCCGGCCTTATCTAGCTCAGCCTCTTTGGAGGGCCGTGGGGAAGCTAGAACCACCTGCTGTGTGGCCCAGGAAGCACTGGAAGAGCCAGGAATAAGGACGTTCCCAGCTTCCTCATGAGAGGAAGCCTGTGTGGTGGTTAGAAGTGTGGGTGCTGGGGTTCAAATCCCAGCTCTGTTGCTGACCAGCTGTGTAGCTTTGGGCAAGTGACTGAACTTTTCTGTGCCTCAGTTTTCTCATCTGTAAAAGTGGCTGGGGTTGCTGTGAGGATAAATGTTCCTGGTCATGCCCAGAGCCCTCATGGACACACATGGATCCAAATGCCACAGTAGCCTTAGTTGATCAACCTCAAAACAACACATTTGTTCTTACAGTGTTGGAGGTCAGAAGGCTAAAATCAAAGTGTCGTGGAAGGTGGCCAGCAGGACGGTGGAGGCTCTGAGGGAGTGGGGCACCTTCACTAAGAGCCACGTACTGGCTCCTGCTGGCGGGCAGTCTTGGTCAGCCAGGCTGAGCTCCCCACTGTCGGGGCCAAGCCTGGGTGTCCTCTGGTGACGCTGAGTCCAGAACGAGGTTGCCCACATTCTGGTCCGCAGGGCTCAGCTCTGCTTTCTAGACTTCCAGATAAGAAGAAGAGGAAAAGTCCTTGGTCTCTGGGCACAACCAGGAACAGAGAGCAAGTTCTGACTCAGCAGAGGGATCGATTCGTTCCATGCAAAGAGCTGCACTGTTAAAGGCTGGCACGAGCCGGGGCTCAGCCAGTGCCCCAGTCCTCTCAGAACTCTGCCGGGTGGTGTTACTGTCCTGCCGTTCAGAGGAGGGAACTGGGGCACAGGCAGGTCAAGCGACTTGGCCAATATCAGAATTGCTAGTGTACATGAGCCCAGGCCCGTGGGACCATAAATCCAGTGTAAAAATCCATCCTCCTGCACCCTATGGAACAAAAGTAGGTCCAGTTATTTTCCTGGGTTTCCTGGACACACAGATCTAAATTCCACAGCAGCCTTGGCTGGCCAATCTTAAAACAACAAATTTATACTCTTAATGAATCTGAAGGTCAGATGTTAAAATCAGCGTGTCAGCAAGATTGTTTCCTTCCGGAGGCTCCAGGGGAGAATCTGTTTCTTTTCCTTTTCCAGCTTCTAGGGGCTGCCTGCATGCCTTGGCTTATGACCCCTCCTGCCATCTTTAAAACCAGCAGCTTTGGCTGGGCCCAGTGGCTCATGTCTGTAATCCCAGAATTTTGAGAAGCCGAGGCAGGAGGATCCCTTTAATCCAGGAGTTCCAGACCAGCCTGGGCCACAAAGTGAGACCACGTCTCTACAAAAGATAGACAAAAATTAGCCCGGTATGGTGGTGCATGCCTGTAGTCCCAGCTACCTGGGAGACTGAGGTGGGGGGGTCACGTAAGCCAGGAGAAGTGGAGGCTGCAGTGAGCTGAGATCGTGCCAACACACTCCAGCCTGGCTGACGGAATGAAATCCTGTCTCAAAAAAAAAACCAAAACAACGAAAGAAACAAACAAATACACAAACCAAAAAAAAATACAAACCAGCCTCTTCTTGCATCTGTGCTCCTGTTGTCACATCTCCTACCTCTGACACTGATCCTCCTGCCTTCCTTTTATACGACCCTTGTGATCACATTGGGACCACCTTTAAAATCAGGACAATCTCCCCATGCCAAAATTATTAATTTAATCACATCTGTGAAGTCCCTTCTACAACATATTCACAGTTGCTGGGGATTTGAATGTGGATGATTCTGGGGGGTGGCCCACTGATAACCAGTGTTATAAGTTTCTTATAAATCCTTCCAGAGATATTTTATCTATAAATAAATAAATAAATAAATAAATAAGTGCAAGTCCATAGCCTTCCCCCATTCACTTTTATACAAATGGCATCATTCCATATCGGTGCTCAGAGTTCCGTCTTCCTCTTTTTCTTTTCTTTTTAAGGCTACACAGAACCTATTATATGGAAATACCCTAATTTATTTCACCTTTTTCCTGTCAGAGGACTTTTAAGCTCTTTCCAGTGGTTGCTTTATACTCCTTTGTGTTATAATGCTGCAATGAATAACCTTGTTTATAGGATGATATTCAATTTAAAAACTCACTTTTCAGGCCAGGCATGTTGGTTCATGCCTGAAATCCCAGGCCTTCGGGAGGCCAAGCCAGAAAGATCACTTGAGCTAGCCTGGGCAATACATAGAGACCCCATCTTTACAAAACGTTTTAAGATTAGTGGGGCATGGTGGCATGTACCTATTTGGTCCCAGCTATTCAGGAGGTTGAAGCGGGAGGATTACTTGAGGCAGGGGGTGGAGGCTGCAGTGAACCATGATCACACCCCTCACTGCACTGCAGCCTGGTCAACAGAATGAGAACCCATCTCTAAAAAAATAAATGAATAAATAATCTCGTTTTTCAGAATTGTGGGGACACTATTAAGATATTTTGAAACCTCACAGAGCTTTTTTGGGGAACTTCTTGCCTTGGAGATTAACCTGCCCTGTCCCGCCCCCATGATCTGTACTTGCTCTTTCTGCCTCCTGGCTTCCTTGTGTGTACTTGCGAGCCCATGTCCATCATGCTCTGCCTTCAATTCTAGACGCTGTGCTGTGAATACGCTTGAGTGGAGGCCGCATGCTTCCCAGGAGGGTGTGTATTTTCAGCATTGACTCTCATGATAGTGTGAAAGGCTCTGGAGAGAATCACAGGCCTCCACAAACAGACAAGGGGAAAAATGTTCCACAGACATGTTTCAGGGACAACAGACTTCCCAATCCTAGGTCATGCTGGTCCATAACTGGATCAGGCTGACTCTCCTTCCCCCACACTGCGGGTGTAGACAGGGACAAGAAAGAGAAGTCAGAGACACAGAGAAGCTATGATTTGCTTGAGGTCACTAAAGTACTTAATGGCAGAGTTCAGACCTGACCTGAGGGGCAACAAAAGACACCCCCCTCAAATCCATGGGGAGCAGAGTCTATCTGAGTCAGATCCCAGATTTCCTGGGGCTTTCACGGAGCCAGGTGTGTACACTGAGCTAGGACGGGTTTCCTAGGGTTCTGTGTGGTCACACAGCTCAACAATACAGACCAGAAAGCAGTGGGCAGTAGGCTGAATTTGGCTGGTGGGTGTTTTCTGTTTGGCCTTCACAGTGTTTCTTCTAACTTGTTATTATAGGAAATTCAAACATGCAGAGGGAATTGTACCATCAACAACACACACCCATCACTCTGCTTCAACAACGATCAACTCAGGCCTATCTTGCTCCATCCTATACCCTCCCTCGCTTGCTTCCCTTCCCACCTTCAGATATGTGGAAGCAAATC